AAAAAAAAGGAGGAGGATTGGCAATAGATGTTAGCTCAGAGCCGGTCTTCCTCAGCAAAAAGAGGAGGATTAGCATGGATGTTAGCTCAGGGTTGATCTTCCTCACTAAACAAACAAACAAGCAAATAAATAAATAAATAAAAATAAAAGATAACATCTATATTTTGATATAATCAAGGCTTGATCAAGGCTTGATTTTGTACAATGACTGATGCTAGGGCATGAGCAGGTGTGCCCAGACCTGGCCTGGCCTCTAGCTGAGTCTGTTGCACCTGGACACACATAGATATTTGCAGCCGTGGGTTTTTGATGGTGTGTTTTCATTGTTGCTTGTGGAACCTCCCCCTGTCAGCACAAAGAAACAATCAATAACACATTCGTAACAGTTCAAATATACAGAGAGAGAGAATAGGAGAATCTACACACACAAATTAAATTGTCAGTACACTTCAAAATGTTCTTGTTAAAATTTTGTGTGTAATGCAGTTGTTTCAAAATTTTTTATTTCGCAAAAGTTTGGGCTATACAACAGAGAAAATAGTACAATGAAAACTCCGATATACTATTCAACAGTTATCATGATTTTGCCACATTTACTTTCTGTTTTTTAGAAAAATTCTATTGAAATATGTTAAAGCAAATCCCAAATATCATGCATTGAGAGGTTTTAAAAATTATAGTATTAATAATAAATATCTATTTAAAAACAAAACTTAAATTGGCCATTGGTAGAGTAGCTGAAGTACCTCTGCAGAATAAGGTTTGTAAGCCACTGCCCAATTCCAGCCGTAGAGGAGTCATGTAAAAAGACCTGTGAGTGCTTTAAAACTGTCCCAGCGATGCCAGCTCTTTGAGCCTGGATTAGGATTAGGAAGTAGGATTAGAGGGTCATCACTGAGTTTCCTTTAAAATCATGAGATACCGTGATAACAACGCATTTATTCAGTTTTTGCTGCTAGTCTGTTGTTATTTCAGATATCTAAGTCAGGAGAGTCACTCTTTTAGTGCTTTAAAGAAATACCCTCATTTACACCTTCCAAATTGCAGCATTTCTCCTAATAAGACCCCAATTAAAAAGGATCTTTATTTTTCACAAGTGATTTGAGAGAATTCCTATCCCAGCTTAGAGACAAGCTTCTAAAGAAAAAAAACTTCATTGTTTTATGATTTGTGTCTTAGTACAATAAGGGCTATTTGTTTATAAAGCCATTTCTGTGCCTGCTTTTTCAAATTAGTTTTTTTATTTGGTTCTTTTAGTTTTTAAGTCTACGGAGAAGGGATTCTGAGCTGGCCATGGTGGGTTTGTCATTTTTAATTTTGAAATAGTCTGATTATTTAAATTCTGTTCTGTGGAATAGGGAATACTTACGTTTTTAACATCCAAAGATTAAAATCTGCTTACTGCATAAAATTTGGGCCCTGAAACCGTTAGGCAGTGCCTGGAACTGTGTCAATGCCAGCTCTGATCCCTATATACCTAAGCTGTCAGTGTCCAAAGTTTCCTCCAAACCGGTTTTAACCTACAGAGTTTTAACATCATATTAATATACAGTAGGCCCATGATCTATTTAGCATTTTCCTAAATAGCTCTATTTGGTATAAATATTATTTGTATAATTTGGATAGTACACCTAGACAATTTGGGGGTGGGAAAATTCATTTTAGGGTATAGTACCAACTGTTCCCTTTCAGGCTACACTGCTGTACTTCCCGAACCTTAGAGATGCTTTAGAAAAGCAAAGAGGGAAGAGTTTGCTGTTTTTCTCTATGGCTTCAGATAGTAGAGAATATTTACCAATGCCAGAAAAATAATTCTTTAATAGACCGCTTTTGTGTTTTTTTTAGAATCACAAGAAGTTGATGAACAGCTGGTAGCAGAAGTGGTTGAAAAATGTTCGTCTGAGACTTGTTCTAGACCCTCAGAAAATGAGGCATCACGTCAGGCTATTGATTCTTACTCCGTCAAGGATTTCAGAGAAGAACCTGAACATGATATTAGCAAAATTTCAATAGTGAGGCCATTTTCAATAGAAACCAAGAATTCCACGGATATCCCGGCAGCTCTTAGAGCAAAAGCAGCCTGTGGCTGTGTACCCACAGCCTTAGGTGAGGCTCTGCCCTCCAGCATCCCAGAAGCCCTCCAGGACAAGGCAATGACCGAAGGCACCATGGGGGTTACACGGGAGCCTTCCACCGAAGCGGACCTAAAGGCTGGGAACTCCTGTCCAGAGCCTGTGCCCAGCAGAAGCAAGCTAAGAAAGCCCAAACCCGTCTCTCTGAGGAAGAAAACAGTTGGCGAATTCTCGGAAGCTGAAACTGCTGTGGAGGGCACACTTCTCCCCCAGGCATCCTGTCAGTTTGGTCCTGATGAAATGGATGGGAATACAAACGCTTCTTTGCTGGGAGGTGCCAGGATCCAGAAATCTACCCCTGACATTAAGGAACTATCAAGCGCTCCCAGTAGTGACACCAATGATTCAGGGGTTGAGCTGCTGGAGGAGTCGAGGAACTCACCTCTGAAACTCGAGTTTGATTTCACAGAAGAGTTGGAAAATGTAGAGTCCAGGAAAGCCATTCCAAGGAAACTTGGCAGGAAACTGGGTAACAGACTGACTCCCAAGGTACAGAAGGATGGCATCAGTAGGCCAGTAGGCACCAAGGGTGCAGAGCAGCCTCCAGAGCCGACCACAGACGATGCCACTCTCTCCCGAGCACCTTCTAAGCTGGATCCTAGCCAGTGGGATGACCCCAACTTCAGTCCCTTTGGGGGCCACTCCACCCTGCAGAACTCCCCCACCCTCTCCTCTACGGGCTCCTACCACTTTGACCCAGATAACTTTGACGAATCCATGGATCCCTTTAAACCAACGACGACTTTAACCAGCGACGGCTTTTGTTCTTTCTCGGGTAATCATGTCAGTGAAATCTTAGACTCACCCAAGAAGGCAAAGTCGCGTTTAATAACGTGAGTGACGACGGGTGTGGGTCTTGTGTTCCGTGTACTCTCTGTGAGATTGGCAGCAGCCGCTTTTGGTTTTGGTGAACTGGAGTTATCTCTGAGGTGCAGCGGGGTAGACGCGAAGCTTCTAACTTTATACTGCTCTCTTCACTATTTTGCTAACTCTTGTATGGAATCAGAAATACCAGAAGTTTCCTTTTTAGATGTCTGCCTTGTTTCTGAATCCTCAGCTTACTCAACTGGGCAATTTTTCCCCCAGCTTGGGTACTTTTTTTCTGTTTAAAAAAAAAAAAAAGAATGGCATGAGATAGGCAAGTAGAGATTTGATGGTTTTCAGAAATCCTATCTGGGCTGGTGGGACTGGCTTAATATACAGAATTGTCAGTGCTGGCCACCATCTTCACATCTTCTGTGGGTACGACAAAAATCCCAAGCCTACAGATTACTTGTCTAGTATCAATAACATGTAGAAAAGGGTCTTATAGAAGTCTTTTCAGTTAAAATGGAAAGCTGTGCTTTTTGTTGGAAACAAACCTACTGCTAAAAGTTGGTGAGAATTCTTAATCTCCATGTTTAGCTTCTGGCTGTATCAGTAAGGAGGTGAATTTCCAATAAGAATCAAGGATATTTTAAACGACGGTGTAAATCTGACTGATTAGTTGGTTAGTTTTTTATTGTGTGTTGTCTCCCCGACGCCCGTCTTCTGGGAAATCTGGAGCCACTTTTGCAAGGTCCTTGGGGTTCTGAGACTGATGACCTCAGGCCATATTCTATGTCAAGTGTCAGTTTAAATTTGTTATAGGGTTATCTTATCACAGAACTTGAGTTGATGACAATATATCCCTTTATGACCCTGTGACATTTTACTAAAAATTAGATATAAAGAAGGACCAAAAGGGAGGATCAGAAGAAGTACCATATTTCTAATTTTCATCATAGGTCAGTTAGGGAAATAATTTTCAGTATCACTATGAATTAAAGAAAAATGCTAGATGGTGTGGCGGATTATACTGGAAAGAAAAGTTTAAAGGTTTAAAGAGCAGAAAATATCAATCAAAACCAGGAAGCTTGTAGGAATCAGTTCTTCCGCAACCCCAGAATATCCCGCAGAACGTCTAAGGGGAGGGAAATGTCATTAGTAGCTCTTGGTCTGTTCTTTGATTATATACAAGCAGTTAAATGGTTGCTGAAAAAATATTATTGATCAGGTATCCACAAAGTGCTCTTCTGTGGTTAAGGTTAGTTACCTATGTCTAGACAGTGCTTGGGGTACGTGTAGGCCACGTCATTGCCTTGGTGCTTCCTAATATGGGATATCCTAAGTGTGGGATGCTTCTGGCTAGCAAGGTTGGTAAGGAGTCACTTGGGAGCCTTCCTTTCACTTGCATGTTGAAGGTATGTAGCCAGTGCATCCATGTTAGATGAGAATAAATCTGAGCCAAAGGGACAGAAATTTATCCTACACCTTATTTTCAGTAGCAAGAAGAACCCTCTCTCGAGTCCTACCACACTCACCTGCTAGCATTTTCTTCCTATTCTGTTCTTGGTGAATGAACTTCTTGAGCTAATATACCTTACAGATTTTTTTTTAAGCTCTTATGCAATCAAAACACTTGTCTCCGTGTTCTTTCTACAAGAGAAGGGTGCTTGATCTCTTGTATAAATAACTCTGGGATTTTGTTTAGCAAATCCCTTCGTTGTAGAGAAGACTGGAAGTATACACATGGAGGTAGAATCTAATGGAGAGTTAGAAGATCTGGTAACAGGTTACTTGTGTGACTTTTTAAAAGATGCATATATAATTGACATCTCAGATTCTTCTGTAAAATGGAAACATCATACCATGATTGGGATTTTCTGGACCCCATCAGATAAATTACATAAAATTGTTTTAAGCTTCTTAGTAATACGCACCTACCGTAGATATAATCAGATACATTTTCAACTATATTTTTCTTCATGCTTTGCCTTTAATCTGGATGATTAGACATTTAAGAGTAAATGTTCTCAGCAGCGAAGTGGTTTTATACATTTGCAAATACTTGGAAGCTTACTTTTCATCCCTAAATTTGAATGTGTGGCGTTTCTGAGTGCTGCCGCCACTCTCTGACTCCATTAGAGTTGAGGTTCCTGCTAATCATTCACTCACCAGTGATAACGTCCATGAATATGACATTTTTAATTTGTATCTCACCTCATAGAAAGAACTTTGCAGCCTTTACTTCTACCAGACTAGAAATAAATATTCCAGGCTTTACATGATTTTTTTCTCCATCTGTCTGTCTCTTTCCTGTCTCTAATTTTGTTGGTGCATCAGGACTACTGAACAAGTGAAATTTCTCTGTTTTCTGTTGTAAGTACTCCTGCTGTTGTTTTGGTTGAGCCCTGGGACTGTTGGCAGTTCCTCTCCCACCCTCCCCAGACCATCTTTCCATGGCATGTTGGCTTCCCTGTCTGAGTTTGACCTTCTGATGATTTTTTGCATTTCATTTGCCACTTCATGAGTCGGCTTAGCCTTGCAATTGTCTGTACCTAAAGGAGTGGCAATCGGCCTTCCCACCTTAGGTGCGAGAGCTTGCGCTCCCCGGCTTGGCTCGTCTCCGCGTGGCGCTTTGATACCAAGTGCTGGCTTGGCCCCAGGATCACCCCAGCGGTGGTTTGAGGGACTGCTCTGCTATTCAACGTTGGAAATAGTGGACTTTTTTGATAGGATAAGGCTGCTGGCTTGGAGCAGGGGGTAAATTTTAGAGTCAACTCAAGTTTGGTGGCAGGAGGTAGCACTTAGTAAGAGCATTTGTAAAGAAAACCATGAACTAGATAGTGGTCATGCACATTCTGGTAACTTATATGCTTGTTTTTTTTCCCCCCCACAGAAGAACAAGTTGTGATTTTTTTTTTCTTTTCTTTTTGTCAAAGTGGCGTTTTTACTGGAAATTTTAAGTTCATTAAAACAGAACAGAATCTGAACCAGCCTTGAGATCACAAATTATGTGCTAGTTAAAAAAATAACAGGGGGCCAGCCCTGTGGCATGGTGGTTGAGTTTGGTGCGCTCCGCTTTGGTGTCCTGGGTTCGCGGGTTGAGATCCCAGGTGTGGACCTACACCACTTGTCAGCCATGCTATGGTGGCAACTTACGTACAAAAAAGAGGAAGATTGGCAACAGATGATAGCTCAGGGCAAATCTTCCTTAGCAAAAAAAGATAAAACAATAACAGCTTTCTCCAGTTCTGGCCTTTGCACAGTACATACCATTCATTTTTCATCTTACTGCTGAATAGGAATGGTAACAATTTACTCAGATATTTTTATTTTTATACTTTGTGTTGACCACAGTTCTTCTCTGTTAGCACACAGGTCTGGAGCTGTCTTATCAGACTTCTGTGGCTTTTAGTGCAATAAAGAATTTTCAAAGAATCTGGTCCAGCGTGGTAATTTTTGTAGTGACTGTCACAGCCAGGTGAATGAGAATCAGATGAACCGAATGTCTCTGGGTGCTAAGGCTGCTCTGTGAAAGGCTTTTGGTGGCATGTAATTAAACTGTAGGGATCCGAGTCCGGTACTGAACCTCCCACAGAAGCACGTGAGGAGGTCTTTTCAGGGAACCAGCTGAGCTGTAGTTCTTTGCTTGTCCTGTGTCTCGGGAGAAGATTCCGAGACATAAAAGGTGTTCCCACCTCTGACGTGTAGATGTATGACTTGTGTGGCGCTGAATGCTTTGGCTTCTGTCTGCACACACTGCTGCCTTTGCTCCATCTCATAGCTTGGAAGTTGTCAATGTGATTCCAAACCGGCTTGGTTTTCTTTTTTCTTTTCTTTCCAGAAGTGGCTGTAAGGTGAAGAAATATGAACCTCAGTCTCTTGCTTTGGATGAGTGTTCTCAGGTAAGTCTGTGCCTGTCACCAGAATGCCTCTTAGACCACTGGTCCCCAAACTCAAGATTGCATCCCCCACCTCCCTGGGTGGGGGAGGTGTTAATGAAGACTTTCCAATGGGTGTCTGAGTACTCAGCCTTAAGGAAACCAATTTCCAGGTCCTTAACTTCCTAAACTGATCTGAGAAGGCCCCTGATGACAAGGGAACCCTTTCACAATTACCCTTTTCCCACTTTTTTTTGTCGTTGTTAAGTTCCCTGTCACTCATTCTAAATCTTTTTACTAAGGTGCGTTATCACTGGGTGTGACACCTCTGGGGCACAAACAAAGGGGAGATTTGAAATGTTGGTGCAGGTTTTAAGAAGGTGATTGACTCTAATGACTGGATAATTTTTTTTTTAAGTCAGATGGTTTTTCAATTAAATTGCTTTCAACAAAATAGGAGAACCTGAGTTGTCAGCTGATAGATCATTAAAAATAATTTTTGATACAATGTTTTATGTCACATATAAATTAAAAAATAATTTTTGATGATAGAATTTTTTGGTACAAAGCTTGGAAAGGGATTTAAAGAATTGAGAGACATTTTTATTACAAAATTTCCTTCTGTTTCATCTATGTGTTTATATGAATAAGGCTTCTTATTGATTATAAAAACAGGAATAAATTGATACTGACCCTTGTTTCATTTTAGCAGTAAATCTTTGTGCATGACTTTGTGAATTAATTGGGAAACACAAATAAAAAAAGAAAAACCCAAGCCCCTATGATTGCGATGAGATCTCCTTTTTTTTTTTCATTTTTAAAATTTTATTTCAGCATAACCGTGATTATGGAAATACACTCATAGGTTACTAGAATGCATTTTAAGTTTAACTTATCCTACACAATTTGGACCTAAAACTTGGTACATGGTGTAAGATTTTTTTTTGAAAAAAGAATTTGCAGTCTGATTTATTCTTCATCTATTACAAATGTGTAAAATATCCACCTTTAAATGCTGCTAAAGCAGGCAGCAAGAACCATGAGAAATTTAATCTTCGATTCAGAAAAATAACACATATTGTACTGTAAAAGTTTTTTGAAAATTGGTGCAACAAAATGTAATTATGGCCGTTTTTTAGTAAAAGTTTACTTTTGTGTTTGATAGCACTTATCACAAGTTGTGGGGCTGGCCCTGTGGCCTAAGCGGTTAAGTGCTCGAGTTCCACTGCTGGTGTCCCGGCTTTGGATCCCCGGTGCGCACCGACGCACCGCTTATCAGGCCATGCTGTGGCAGCGTCCCATATAAAGTGGAGGAAGATGGGCACGGATGTTAGCTCAGGGCCAGTCTTCCTCAGCAAAAAGAGGAGGATTGGCATGGATGTGAGCTCAGGGCTGATCTTCCTCACAAAACAAAAAAAGTTGTGATATTTTCAGAATAAATTGTCCATTAGTAAGTGTGATGATAACTCTCCGGAAGAAAAAATGTTAATACTTAGAAACTTAGGGTCATAGAAAAAGGTTTTTAAAAAAATTTTTTTAACAGAGAAATATGATAGGGAGACCTTTAAAAGACTTTCAGGCGTACAAATGCATTTCTTTGGGATAATTTCTTGGTAGAAGTAGAGTGGAAATACAAATTCAGAGAGGAAAAGGAATGATGTAAATTTCTGACTATTAAAGAGCTTGTTCGTGTTTGATTTTAAATAGATCATAGCATATTAAATAGATTTTATGTAGATCATAGAGTATCAAATTACTAGCGTAACTAGATTGAGTTAAGCAAGGCCGGTATTTGAAATATACCAGGTATTACATCCTTTCCAATTATTTAAACTTATGCTGAAAAGTTCTTAGATGTCACCTGAAAATAAATTTTTAAATTTAAATTTAGATAAATAAATAAAGGGTACATAGATTTTCAAAAAATATTAGGAGGTATGTGAATAAAGTATTTGAAAACCACTGCCTTGGACCACTACAACTTCTTGCTTATAAATTTAGACTAGAAAAGCTTAATTTTTCAAACTTCAGATTTGAATGACAAAAGCTAGGTTCTAGAAAACAGAGCATTCCCTGTCTGAGATATCCCAGCCCCCTCCTGGATTTGTACCCAGATCTGTGGTTAACTCTTCTCAAACATCCATGTGGAATGGTGGCTGCCTTGCTCCATTCCTGAGGTCACTTTCCCCACCATTTGCCCTCCTAAATGGTGGCGTCTTATCTGCATCATTTCCCAGGATGAAGGAGCAGTGATCTCCCAGATTTCAGACATTTCTAGTAGGGATGGCCATGCTACCGATGAGGAGAAGCTGGCGTCCACCACATCTGGTCAGAAATCAGCTGGGGCCGAGGTGAAAGGTGAGCCAGAGGAAGACCTGGAGTACTTTGAATGTTCCAATGTTCCTGTGTCTACCATAAATCATGCGTTTTCATCCTCAGAAGCAGGTATGGAAGCATATCTTCATCTTTCTAATGTACATAAGCATGGAAATGCCTGACAGGCTAAAGCAGGAGACGCCTTAGAGAGGTTCGAGCATTGGTCCCTTGAAAGATAGATTTAGGAGGCTGATCTATGCTTTGCTCCTTTACCTAAAAAAGACACACAAAAGGATGTCTTATTGAAGTACCAGGGACATATGGAGACGTGTGGCAGGATGTGCAGGAGGCATGATGTATGAGACTGCTTGCATTTTTTTATAATTTATTTTAATGTGGCCACATCCTAAAGTATATTGGCCTGTAACCATGTTGTGATTATTATGCTCATTGTGCAACTTAGAGAAATAATAATAATCAGATGTATAGTGTAGGCATTGCTCTACATGCTTTACATGTATTAACTCATTACTCCTCACTGGGTATTATTTTTTTCTCCCATTTTTCAGAGAAGGAAAGTGAGACCCAGCAGTTAAGTACTCGACCGAGGTCACTTGGCTAGTAACGGGTAGAGCTGGATTCGAACCCCAGCAGTCTGGTTCCATGGTCTTTTGACCACGGTGCTAACGTGTGAAGAGATTGCTGTCATGACACTAGACTATCATAAGTTTCCCTGCTCACAGATGTGATAGATTGAAATTGACCAGTGCCTTTCTTAAAGTTCTAATAAAAACCTAGACTAACCTGTGCTGAAGCTTCTTGCTCTTGACTCTTTAGAACATTCTTGACCTGAGGCCCTTTTCCAGGTCCCAAGTTATATCTGTGGCCTTAAACTTGACTTACGAAATGTTTAGAACCGTGTTCCTGACTATATTAAACATTATTAGAAACTCAGATCTTCAGCAACATAATATAACTTGGGGCTTTTATACTTGGAATTTTTAAAATCGTGATCTATCATCAAACCAGGGAAACAGGTGGAAATCAGACTTTGTGAGAGTTATTCCCTGGGGTCCTCCCCTCTCCCAGGTCTTAGTTCTCATCTGTAAAATAAGTGTGCTGGGCACTGTTCAAGATGTCTTCACAGGCCTCTTTCTGCTCTGACCTCTTTGCCAAAGACCTTGTTTTCCATTTCCCTTGATACCCCTTTATCCCAGCTGTGCAGGGTAATCCTGGGTACTCTTGTACCTACACTTATGTCTTTTATTTGAGGGGCATTTGAAATACCTTTCTTGGCCACCTCCTGTAAAAATTCTCCCCATCCTTTCAGGTCTATCTCAGAAATGTCACTTGGCTCCCACTTCGCTTTATGCTCCCACCGCATTTCTTCTTACCATCCCTGTTCCCTGTATTAATTATAGAAGGGTGTCTTTGACAAACTTCCTGAGGTTAAGGACTATGAATGATTCACCTTTGAATTTCCTCTGGTGCAGGTGCATGGTAGATATTTGTTGAATTATATTCTTCCTCACTAGCAGGAAATTCCTTTAATGGAAATTTAAGGGCTGGGGATCTGTTAGATACAGTGGTGTCGTCAGAGTTAGTGAACAGCGCTGTTACACTGTATGTAACTGATTAGCCGTGTCCTGGGAGCAAGCAGAGGCTGTGGTCGTGGGGGAGTGGGAGGTGTGTGGAGGTGGGATGGGTGTACTGGCTCCTGTCAGGTGAACCGGAGTCTGTTTCCTGGGGAGAGTCACCTTTGAGCTAGGTCTTGATAGATACATACGTAGATGTGCACCAGGGAACCAGACTCTCTCACGGGGATAGGAAGGAACCGGTCATGTTGGTAAAATGCCCAGTAGCTCTCTGTGAGTACAGGACATGTGGATAAATAAGGAATCTGGGCTTGATCCTGTAGTATACCTGTAGTATACAGGAGCCATTGAAGGTTTTTAAGCAGAGTAGTGATGTTCACTTTTTTATTTTAAATAATTCACTATTGACAGTACACTAAAATAGTAATTTGTTACTGCTGTGTGGAGGATTATAGCTTTAAAATTTTGTGTACTTTTCTGTATTTTAAAATACAGAAAGTGAGTGCATATTCCTTTAATTAGAAAAAGCATAGTGTTGGGTTTTTTTCGACGTTGCCTCTGATGGTAGAGTGAAAGGTAGACTGGAGACAAGGAAACCAGTTTGAAGGATATGGGGAGGATAATGAATTTAGTTTTTCACGCACTGAAATTTAGAGCATATTGTTCTATCTGGTGCATTAATTAGATTGAGGGTACCCTGGAATTTAAATTCACTCAGACTTGGTAATAAAACAGCATTCAGTGTTGTGGTTTCCTCTTTCTAAAATAATCCCATGGTTAGTACAACTCATTTACGAAACGTTTCATGGACACAAGGGGGCAGGCTCGCTGTTATTTTCACCTGAAGATCACAGATCTGTTTATGGCTGACTAACCATGCACTCCTCTTTCTTCTGAATACTTGGGACATTTTAACACAGACATACAGCAGTCAACAGAATGCTAGTGCTCCTTTGAAAATCTTGAAACGCTGCTCATGTGTTCATAGATGTCATTCTGGGACTGCACTAGGGCTTTCGAGTGTCTTGCACTAGGAAGGAAAGAACTGACTTCTTGGGATAACCACAAAAATGACTCTCTGTGTTTTAGGCATAGAGAAGGAGACGTGTCAGAAGATGGAAAAAGATGGCTCTACCCTCTCTGTAAGTTCCTAAACTTGTGGGGAGGGGACGGGGGGTGGTAAGTGGAGCTCCATTTTTTTCAGTATTTCTTTTGAAGCCCATGTTAATTCATTAAATACATTCTAGTTGGTGTTTGGTGATGGGGATGAAATATAAATAAAACAGTTTCTTCCCTTGAGGACCTCATAGTCTGTCCTGAGACGTCTGATACAGTAGCTCATGTGCCTACTGAGCTCTTGAACTGTAGTCTGAATTGAGGTGTCCTATAAGTGTAAAAAACAACCAGTTTTTTTTTAATTTTATTTATTTATTTTTCCCCCAAAGCCCCAGTAGATAGTTGTATGTCATAGCTGCACATCCTTCTAGTTGCTGTATGTGGGACGCGGCCTCAGCATGGCCGGAGAAGCAGTGCGTCGGTGCACGCCCGGGATCCGAACCTGGGCCGCCAGCAGCAGAGCACATGCACTTAACCGCTAAGCCATGGGGACGGCCCAAAAACAACCAGTTTTTGAAGGCTTAGTCCAAAAAAAAGGAAAATAAAGTCTCTCTCACTTTTTATATTGATTACATACTGAGATGGTAATATTTTTGATACATTCAGTTAACTATGTCACCTGTTTCATTTTAGTTTTTAAATGTGGCTACTGAAAATTTTTAAATTACGTATGGCTTGCATTGTATTGCTTTTGAACAGCACTGGTAGTGGATACAAAATGGAAACCAATGATACCCTGTGGTAAACATTATAACAGAATGTGTTCCAGCCGCTGTGGGGGCCCAGGGCTGACCTGCTTGTCAGGTGTCAGGAAAGCTGAATTTGAGCTAATTAAGAGCAAAATTTTTTTTAAACTCACAAATGTAGTGCAAAGAATTTATATAAATTTTCACCCATACTCCTCAGATGTTAACATTTTATATAATGACAGTACAGTTATCAAAATCAGTTAACATTGATACAGTATTATTATCTAATCTGTTAGCCGTATTCAGTTTTATCAGTTGTCCCAATAACATCCTCCTTCTGGCGCAGGATCCAGTGCAGGATCCCGCATTGCACTGGTGTCACGTCCTTAGACTCCTTTTAATTTGTGATAGTTCCTTGGTCTTTGTCTTTCCTGCCTTGACGCTTCTGAAGAGTATTGGTCAGCTGTTTTGTAGCATGTCTTTCGATTTGGGTTCATCCAGTGTTTCTTCATGATTAAATTGTTTAGTAGATTTTAGGCATGAACATGACAGAAGTACATTGTGGGTATCATTAAAGGTGGGGTTGAGTTTGATCACTCTGGTAAGGTGGTGTCTGCTAGGTTCCTCCATTTGAACTAAGTTTTTTAAAGGAAGAGTGGGGTTTGCCAGACAGATAAGGCAATAAAGCATATTCCGGGCAGGAGAGTTGGCCTGTGGGCAGGGAGTGAGAGAAAGCATGCATTTTATTGTAGGTATTAATAATCTCGTGTGATCGGAGGGTATTGTGCATATGGTAGGTGAGGGCCAGATCATCGCCTCCACAATGTGCCAGAGACATTGTGCCAGCAGGTTTGGAATTCATGGTAGAAGCAGTAGGTAACCGTTGTGGGGTTTTAAGTAGGGAGCATCGTGATCAGTAATAGTTTAAAGGATGGGATGGAGGCTGAGAGAGATTTAGCGGGTAGAACCATCACTGCTTGGTGACTTCAGGGACGTACATGGTAACAGGGTGGTTTCTCTGTCCAGAAACCATACATTGTAAATCCATCTGTTTTTCTCAAGCCTACGGCTGCCACCACTCTTTTAAAATAAGACGGCAGTTTCCTAACCAGTCTTCCTGTTCCCAGGTTTATTCTCTCATCCTTTTACATAAGCCAGAGTAATGTTTTAAATACACAACTGATCTTGTTACTCTTTGCTTAAGCCTCTTCATTGGCTTCCCTTGTCTTGAGGATAAGTTCAAACTCTCCCTGTGACCAACATGGCTTTCTTCAGTGGGACTCTGCCTCCCTCTCCAGCATCAGCTGTCTCCTCCCTCCCTTGAACATCTGACGCTTGCCTAACCAAACGGAATTTCCTCCAGTTCTGTGAACCTGCCCCTTTGAGTCACTTCCCTGTTCTCCCTGCCTTTCTTACAAGACCAAAGCTTGGTGAAGGTAGAGACCATGACTGTCATGTTCACTGCTTTACCTCAGCACCTACCACAGCAAATACTGCTAAATGTGGGAATCAGTTAATTAGGAATACAGAAGGAGGAGCAGAATTGAAGAAGTTCATTTTTAGATACGTGGCTTTGAGACATCTGTGGGACCAGTTTCTAAGTCCTTATATCCGATAGGCAGTTATAAACACACAGTGTGAGCTCAAGAAAAGTCTAGGTTGGCTTTAATAGATTTGAGGGCCCTTAGGACCCAGGGGATAATTGAAGCTACTGTAAGATTAGATGAAGTCCAGATTGAAACATTTTTTACCTGATCCACAGTACAAATACACTTTGCATCTTGACTAGTAAATATATGTGACACATCACAACATATGCGTTTGTATATTTATAAAAAAATTGTACAAAACAGTTTCTACCTTTCTTCATGTGATTCACTCTGATATTTTCTATTCTATTTCATTTTTTTTGTGTGTGAAGGAAGATCAGCCCTGAGCTAACATCCATGCCGATTCTCCTCTTTTTTTTTTTTTCCACTGAGGAAGACTGGCCCTGGGCTAACATCTGTGCCCATCTTCCTCCACTTTATATGGGACACCGCCACAGCATGGCCTGACAAGCGGTGCATCAGTGCACACGAATCTGGACCGCTAGCAGCGGAGCGCGCGTACTTAAGCGCTACGCCACGGGGCCGGCCCGTCTATTTCATTTTTTTTAATGAAGATTACTTGTCCCACTAAATTGTTTTCAGGACTCACTGTTAGGCCGTGACTCACTGTATTCCCCCAGAGGACATGGAATGAGCAAACATGAAGGTGGGTGGTGGAGGAGGAGCCTGTGGAAGCATGAGCAGAAGGGAGCCACCCACACAGCACACAGGGCTCGAGAGCACTGTCCCCTCACGAAGGCCTCACACATTCCAGACGTTTGTTTCTGGACAAATTTGTTTTTTGGGAGCCAGGTCATCTAATCCCAGCTCAGTCACTCACGGGCATATGCTTGGGTTTTCTCACCTGTGAGAGAGGGCTGCTGCTACCCCACCTACCGGAGGATGCAGCTCCACACTCAGCCACCAGAACAGCCTGGTGGTGCACTGGGGAAACCAGTTCCTTTTGAAGTTTTCCAAGTACTAAGAGAGTTTTCTAGTATTTTCAGTGTGTGAAAATAGCAATGGGATGACTGAAGAAGGCCGTGTCGAGCGGGCCAAGCATTGGTCTGCATGGCTGCAGGTTTAGGTGGTTTACCCAGTTCTTGAAACAAAGTGGTTAAATTTCCTGATTCCCAACTTCTTCGTCCATAAAATTAGCAGCACTTGTTTGCCTCCTCGGAGTGGGTATAGGGATAAAAGGAAGTGATATCGTGAAGGACTGGAGCTGTAGTGCTGGGCCAGCATGAGGTGGCGTGGTGTGACAGGAAAAGGGTGGGAAAGAGTGAGAAAAAGAAACGGCCCATTCTTGTCGATGGAGGCGGCTGCTGAAGAACGTGTCCTGTGTTGTGATCTTTTCAACGTAACCCCTGTTGACCTTCTGAAGATAAATTAATTTTTACTTCCTTGGAATATTGAATAAATGTTGCATAAAGAATTGCAATATTCAAAACGTTGAATAAAGAAAAGTATTTAGCATTTACCTTTCTAAGCCTCTCTGTTGCTTTGAAGCACATTCCTGTCGCAGCTTTATGCCCAGTGACAGGTGGTGACCGGCGCAGGATAACTAAGGCTGGAGTACAGTAAGAGGTGGGCATTAACGTCTCGTCTTGCTTTTCAGTTGTTGGTCTGCAGCATTTTTCACTTAGGATTCAATTTATTTTTCTAAGAAGTCTTAAACTTCTTAAACGTTGAGTTTATTTGGCTTTTCCAAGTGTGTCTCTGTTAGAGAGAAGTGGCAGGGGGTGGTCCTGCTCCAGTGAGTTCAAGGACAAATGATGAGATGAGCACACTCAGCGGGCTGCGACAGATTAGTGATGCTGATTCTCCCACTGCAAGGACAGGAGCAAAGAGAATTACTTTGTGGCATCTGTGCTCACTGTAAATTTGCAGCCAGGACTCCATTGAGTTCCTCTGTCTGTAGATGGGTCTTTGTTGGTCCTCAGATGTGAATGCTTTGTGGGTCAGAGGGGAGGATTAGGGGACATGAAATGGGACCCTTTTGGAAGGATGTGATTGACTGATTGATTGAGCATCTTTATTTAACACATACTAGGTTACCCAGCCCAGGAAGAGACTGTTGGGCCAATTCTTTGTGAAGGTAGATTCTGTAGGGTTTCTACACTGTTTGATAAACAATATAAAGGTCTAAGGAATGTAAAATGTTAAATCCTAGGGGAAAATGTGGCTAAAATAGGCCACGGCATAAATTCTTGCCCTTATTACCTCATAAGAGCTGTTGGATTTTCACATGAGGCTTGTGACACATGTCCAGGCAGAGGGGAGTAGCCAGGGGAGAGCCGCCGGCCGCAGAGCCTAGTCATCTGGATATATTTGCCACCTCCTGAGGTCTGATCTGCCACCTCCAACTCAGAATGCTGCCTCTTCTGGCCCCCACATTTGTTAGCATTAAGTTGTTGTTAAACAGTGGGCAGACTGAATTCATTTATCCCCTCAACAAATGAATGAGATGCTGAACTCTAGACATTGATATTGTCCTTACTAAGAAAACTCTTGGCTGGGGCTGGCCCCGTGGTGTAGCGGTTAAGTTCGTGCCCTCTGCTTCAGCAGCCTGGGGTTCGAAGGTTCGGATCCCGGGCGCAGACCGACTCACCACTTGTTAAGCCATGCTGTGGCGGCATCCCATGTAAAGTAGAGGAAGATGGGCACGGATGTTAGCCCAGAGCCAGTCTTCCTCAGCAAAAAGAGGAAGATTGGCAAGGGATGTTAGCTCAGGTCTAATCGTTTCTACAAAAAAAAAAAGGAAACTGTTGGCTTATTTCCTAAATTCTTGCTAACATGAGGGTCTTGGGTGGCACAAGGGGGCTGTTTCCTAAGTTGACTCGACTTGGGGATTCTGACTTAGAATGATAAAATCTCACAGACTGATTTTCAAATGTATTAAATTAGAAATGTAACAACAAGGTGAACCAATGTGTCAGCTTGACATAGTGCATTATCTCCCTCTAGACAAGTTACGTGGGAAGCAAGATTATAAGAAAGTTTCTTGATGTGAAACAGTACAGGAAGTTAGTGGAATGATTCAGATGTCTAGGGGTGTGTTAGTTATCTACAACAAACATTTATTATCTCATCATTTCTGAGTCAAGAATCCTGCTGGGTGCCCCTGACTCAGGATCTCTCCCAGGCTGTGATCAAGGTATTGGCCAGGGCTGTGGTCACCTCCAGGCTCGACTTGGGGTGGGTCCCCTTCCAGGCTCACTTGTGTGGCTGTTGGCTAGTCTCGGGTCCGCACTAACTGTTGGCAGAGACCACGGTTCCCCGCCACCTGGGCCTCTCCATGGAGCTTCTCACAGCACGGAAGCCAGAGTCTTTGTAGACTTATCTGAGAAGTGACATCCCATGACTTTGCCATATTCTCTTCTTTAGAAGTGAGTCACTAGGTCCAGTCTACACTCAAGGGGAGGAGACTACACGAGAGGATTAGTACCAGGAGTTGGGGGTCATTGGGGGCCATTTTAGGGGCTACCCGCAAGTGGCTGCTGGCTCTAGTGACTGATCTGTCCCAGGATAGAGTGTTTCTGGGGGGACTTTGGGCTTCTGTCAGCGTAGGGGACTGCCAGTTACTCCCAAATGCTGCTAGAAATGGCACTGCCGACTTGTGGCTTTTGCATTTTCCTTTTCTGTGGCCTCTGCCAGGGGTTTCTATATTGGGCTCTTGGATGAGGTCTGTGAAGCTGTATGCAAAAATTATGTCTGTGTGTTTTGGCATTTTCTAGAGACATTAAAAACCACTGGTCTAAGTTGACCTTAGACTTTCTGTTCTGTCTTGGTTCAAACAAGATATCAGAGAACTGATTGATTATAGTCAATAACTAATTGATCAGTTATACTGACATTTAAGATTATTAAGATATTCCCTAACTCTAACTCTAACCCTAAAAAAAAAAAGATTATTCCCAGGTCACTTTGGCTGGCATTTTGGATGTTGTTAAACCAGCTTTTTTCTCATTTGTACAAAAAGTTTACTTTAATAGGTGGGAAGAAATAGCCCAAAAAATGTCTTTTAGGAAGGAAAATAGTATGAAGTTCATGTTCTTGTGAAAAACAAAATACTAACCAAATGTGGGTTTCTGGAACTTGAGTTTTTGATAAACGCAAGCTGGCACAGCAGAAGGTTGCCAGAAGGGAACTGAAAACTTAATAGCAGGGAAGAACCACAAAATGGAAGTATAGGCACCGATCTTGACTTTCATGTGGCCGCTTTGTAGAGGAACAAATAATGGCGTACACCTGACAGCATCGCTGGCTTACCACACAGCATCACTGCACAGCAGCTGAAGTGCCTGCTGGTCCTGAATCATCCGTGGGTGGGGCTCAGAGTCCACATGCATTTGCCATTTCTACTTCCTTAGGCCTGAAAGTCAGTAGTACATTTTAGAAACGTTTTCATTCAAAGTGGCTGAATAAAAATACATACAAAGCATCAATATGTAAGAAAGTTGACACTTTTTTTGAAATTTATTTACATGGAACACATCAAAATGTGACATTGACCATGGATGGTTTTCTCTTTTATGCATGTGATTCTTTGGTGACTGACCACAGTGATAATTACACTTTCTCCTTTTTGGATAAGAAGAAAACTTCTCTCGGCTCTCTGTTACACAGAAGCTAAGACCCCCAGATCTCATTAGAACAGTTTTTCCTTTAGATAATACTGTAACTAGATTTGGTTTTTTTAAAGTTGCCTCCTGCTGATTTTTTTTTCCTTCAAACATGTTTTCAAAGGTTGTGATCAATTTAGTAATGAGGAAGTTATTGAAGGATATTTGGGTTAAGACGCTAAGACTGGATGTATTAAATATATCCTCTCCCCCTCAGGGACTGTTGGAGTCCCCCGTGGAGAAGGCCCCTGTGTCCGTGGCCTGTGGAGGGGAGAGCCCCCTGGATGGCATCTGCCTCAGTGAGTCAGATAAGACGGCCGTGCTCACCCTGATAAGAGAAGAGGTAAAGCCTTTCTCATTCCATTCATTTTTTTGTTAAAGCCTGCGTGCCGGTGGGTAGACTCCATCTCTGTTGGATTGAGTTATCTGCGGCTGCAAGTTCTTGTTTCCTGCAGCTTGTTTAGTTCATCTGAAGGGCTCCCTGTCAAACTCCGCGTTGGTGCTGGAGTCCTGACCTTCTGTGTCCAGGGAATAAAGCTGACCTTTTGAAATATCCTTAAGAATTTTGTACACTTCCTTATCTTTCAGGCTTGATGTTTTAAATATCAAATTTTGCCAGCTTTACCCACAGAGGTAACTAAATCTGTGCCTTCATTTTACAGAGGATATATGCTCATGCTTAAAAATTCCTTTAGACTTGCAGTAATATAAAATTGTTTGCTACCTTCATCCTTTCTTTAATTCAATAGTTCAACTCTCAAATTCCTGTGTTGTGTTTCTTGAGCAGCCTCTGTTCAAAATAGATCACTGCCAGGCCTTTCCTGGGTGGTGGGGAAAATGTGAAAGACACTTCAGTGCTATTCATCAGTTACCACCCTCTCTCATTCTGTTTCTGCACTAACTCATGTGTATTGGGTGTGTGTGTTTCTTGATGCTTCCACATTTTTTTTTAAGAAGGTAATTCCCTTGGTGTAGCAATTTTATTTTTATCTTATGATGAAAGTAGTTAACTGCCTCTGAGGTGGGTCTTTTAAAGCTTTAAAAAAAGCGTTAGATTGGTAATGGGGGATGTGAGCTAGTCCTGTTGTCAAACTCAGGAGCAGTGGTAAGGAGGCCCGGGCACCAGAATCCCATCAATGACAAAACTGACCTCGTCTTCCTCCTGAGAGTTAAACTGTGAGGTGACCACCTACTGGATCAAAGCAAAGATGAGCCTCGTCACCTGAAGCAGACAGGGTGGCTTCTAAGACCTTGAGATCCTGATTAAAGGCACTAAAATAAAGAATGCGCGAATTAGAAAGAGAGAAGCACAGAGAAGTGTAATAAAAGAACAGCGGATGCCCATCTAAGCCCTGTCTAGGGCGAATGGAGTTTGAGGCAGTGAATTCAGAGCATTTTTTTCCAGTTAGCAAGAGCATCCCGAATAGGGGTATGGGTTCTGGTCTTACTAACAAGATCTGACTACAGTGGGAGGGAGGCCTCTGGCTGGAGGCATTGAACTTCTGGGCCCCTCGTGTTCTATCGAGCCGGAAGTCTCTGTAGAAAGAGAGTGTGCTGGTCATGCCAACTTCCAGCGCTCCAATTTTGCGGCAGTTTCGTTCCTCATCCTAAGTAAAACTGGTGCCCTGGAGTCCGCTGCGGCTGAGATGAGAGCGCAGGACAGATGGCTCTGCTGTGGGTGTCCTGTCCCAGTCAGGGTTCTGGGCCCACAGAGCTGAGAGCCAGACCCTGGACTGAGGGAAAATTTACAGAGGTTTAATTACCACTTGGGATTTTTCCAGATGTCCTGCTCGCCTTTATTTACTCTGGTGGCCACACTCCAGCATCCTGTGTGGCTGAGAGCACATTTTTCCAGGTGCTTATGAGCAATGTATACAGATGCTGAGGTTTTATATTCCTAAAGTAGATCGAATGTCTTGGGAGGGACCTGGCTATGTTATTTTCAGTCTCCAATCTTAAATTCAAACTGTAATAGATTAAGTAGGTAAAACCAAGCTTTTCTCTATTATAATCTAGATAATCACTAAAGAGATTGAAGCAAATGAATGGAAGAAAAAATATGAAGAAACGCGACAAGAAGTCTTGGAGATGAGGTTAGAGTGGAGGTCTGGGGAAGGGGTTGGATACCTTCCTGCGTTATTAGATTTAACACAGGTGAAGCGGTGGAAGTATTTGCTTACCACAGAGCCGTTGAGAGCTTGAGGGCTTTGCTGTCTGCACCTTAATTTGTGATAGATAATGTCATGTCATGAGTGTTGCTGACCAGAATACTGAGACTTATTTTGGGTTGTTAAGAACATTACAAGTAAGCAGAACCCACATAATTCTTGTCTTTTGAAAAAACATAAATTTGTGCAAAAATATACATTTGAAATACAAAGTAGAGTAATAAGATTTATTGACATGATTATGGAGGCATTATAATTCATAATACTTTTCTAAAATTAATTATACGTGGTAGCTTCAAATTTCATAACCACAAAATAGATTATAAAAAGCATATTAACAAGAAACAAAATTGATTGACTTTAAATTGAAATATTTTTATTTTTGGTGCTCACTCTGTAGAGAGTTGGGAGCTGTGAAATAACTAAAGGTGGTATCAAAGAAGAGGAGAAAATAGAATAAATAATTTATACACTGTGTAGTCGGCACTTGAGTGATTAAGAAACATTTTAAATATGTTCACTCTAATTTGTGGCTCTTGTATTTGGTGTTTTTTGAGCATTTACTGGGTGTAGGGCCCCGTGGTGGGCGTGGTGGAGAGGAGAGGACAGCCCCTGCTCTTACAGAGCTTGCAGTAGCCACCATAAAAGACTTGGATGCAGGGTCCACGTGATGGGCACCACCAGCGCGGGGCAAGGGAGCCATCCTTTCTCACTGAGGGGTCACAGGGAAGAGCCCCGTCACTGGACAGGGTCAGGAAAACATTATTGCAATTCGCTAAAAGAAAGAGTAACACAACAAGGTGATCTTTAAAGTCTTTGAGTAGCTGAAATACTTTCGGAATTAGGAGAGTAAAATAAAACTTATAACTGAATCAGAGGAGACAGATTGCCTGAAAGGGTGGATTGGGGCCAGGAAAGCCTGAACTCAGATCAGATGTCTTAGGGAGAGCCCCAGGAATGTCATTAACTTATTTTGTAAAAGATTGATTTCTCTAAGAATTAATCTGTTGCCTTGTGGTCATTCACATAGGTGCAAAGAAAAAGTGTGGGCAGGGGCCGGACCTGTGGCTTAGCAGTTAAGTGCACACGCTCCGCTGCTGGCGCCCCAGGTTCGAATCCTGGGCGTGCACCGAGGCACCGCTTGTCGGGCCATGCTGTGGCGGTGTCCCATATAAAGTGGAGGAAGATGAGCACAGATGTTAGCCCAAGGCCAGTCTTCCTCGGCAAAAAGAAGAGGATTGGCATGGATGTTAGCTCAGGGTTGATCTTCCTCACAAAGAAAGAAAAAAAAAGGGTGGGCAGTTGTTTCTATAAATGGAATGAAAGGCTTGTTAAACATAAAATCTTAGGAAAAACCTTTTGAACATTAACAGATCTTACGTCAATGTAAAAACAGAGAGCCCCAAAGCAGATAAATGAGTTATGTAAATTCCTCAGTATATGTTAATATGTTTAATTGTTTGGGGCAGCATTTCTCCATTTTTATTGTCTGAAAATTCTCTTCTGATAATAATTTTTTTTTTTTTTAAGGAAAATTGTGGCTGAATATGAAAAGACCATTGCCCAAATGATTGGTAAGGAAATTTTTTCTGGGGTATGAGCCATAGGATCCATAGATGATTTCCAAATCAGAATACAAACTTCATTTTGTCCATCATGTAGATACAATTGATTCTCATTATTTGCAATGGTTATGTTCTGTAAAGTCGCCACAAACACTGAATTAGCAAATACTGAACCATTGTTCCTAGGGAAAATACAGGGTTAGGTTCCTGTAAGCCTCTGGTCACAACATTTTAGTCAATACATAACCTTGTCTTATGTGTGTTTCTGTTTAAAGACATGTTATTGAATATATATTGTTGCTTTATTAACATTGAACTCATGGCCAGCAGTGCTCATGCCTGAACGAAGCTTATCTAACACACGTTATTTTCCCCAGAAGGCACATCCCAGCCTTCTTGCTCCTAGGACACTAGACAGCACTTCAGCACTAGGCTCGGGGGCCATTTTAAACAATGAAATCACCAACAGAAAGCACAAAAATGCAAAGACTCTGGCACTAAATGGACTGTGAAAAGGACACTTTTTTACATTATGAAACAAGGCAGAGCATCGCCTTGTTCAGCCTCAGGTGAGAACAATGCATGTCAGCTGACTCAAAGTCTTCGCCTTTCTGCGCATGTCCGTGAGTGACCAGGAACGCACCACAAGTATTGATTTTGAGATTACAAATAAATTTTAGCAAGTAGGCAAGTTCACACATACGGAATCCGTGAATAATGAGGATCAACTCTAGTTAGGTTCATTTTAGAGGATAGCAAACACTCGAATTCTGTGAAAAGCCCTCCACCCGGTACCCAGAGTGTCAATGGCCTGGCCACATCATGAATATGCCTGAGTGGGATCTCTTTGTTGTGGGGCAGTGTCCTTGCTCCACTGTAAATAGAGCTTTCCCTGTATCAGACCCATCGGTGCCCTTACAGAACAACAGTGGGTGATCCTCCCGCGTTGAATCTAGAGCCTCTTGTAGGCACATCGTGAGGACCGACTGCCTAAATCACAGTCAGTCTCCCTGCACAGAAGCACTGGAGTGATGTTTGCTACTGTCCACGTCACCTACCGCCTTCCCAGCACAGGGCCTTTGCCACAGCTGTTCCTCGGCGTGAAATATTCTTCTCCGGTAGCTGCATGGCTCCCACCCTCAGTTCTTTTGGGTGTCTACTCACATGTCTCCTCTGAGAGAGACCACTCTGTATAAAAAAGGAATCCCACCCCTCTCTCCCTGCTTTGTTTTCCCCCCTGTTGCTTGTCACCATATGTGTCCGTCCACTAGAATGTAAGTCCTTGAGAGTGGGAATTTTGTTACATCCACTGCTGCTGTCCCCCCAGAGCACTGCTGAGCCCACGGAGGGCAGCTCTTAACCATTTGTTGGATCAGTATGCCATGACTTTTGATTGTGATTCACAGAAGATGAACAGAGGACAAGTATGACCTCTCAGAAAAGCTTCCAGCAACTGACCATGGAGAAGGAGCAGGCCCTGGCCGACCTTAATTCTGTGGAAAGGTCCCTTTCTGATCTCTTCAGGAGATACGAGAACCTGAAAGGTGTTCTGGAAGGGTTCAAGAAGGTAGCGTGTCCCTTTCCTTCTTTCTCCTTGCTAGTGTATTTTCTTAGTGATGGATCTTCAAACGTATATGCCAGAGGTGTGGGCAGCCTTTTCAGTAGGGACTCAGGGCCCTTCTTGGCCTTGTATCTTCTGTTTCAGTGAAGCTGGAGATTTTTTCTCCCTTTTTTCTTTCTGAGGTTGTTCAGGCATCTGGCCCGCTGGGTGGTGTGTCTCGGTCGTTTCTCTGCTGGATCAGGCCAGTAAACCCAGACACAGAGTATGGTACGGAGTGTAAGAGCTGGGGAGCCCTCAGACCTTAGGAGAATCCCAGAAATGTTCTTTTTCACCAATTTAATATTAGTAAAAGTAAAAGGGGGGGCTGGCCCAGTGACACAGTGGTTAAGTTTGCATGCTCCACTGCAGCGGCCCGGGGTTCACGAGTTCGGATCCCGGCACGGACCTATGCACCACTTATCAAGCGATGCTGTGGTGGCGTCCCACATAGAAAGTAGAGGAAGGTGGGCACACATGTTAGCCCAGGGCCAATCTTCCTCAGCAAAAAGAGGAGGATTGGCAACAGATGTTAGCTCAGGGCTAATCTTGCTCACCAAACAAAAAACAAAAAACAAGCAAAAGGGATTTTAGCCATAGTACTGAAAAATTCAGGGTGCATATTCTAAAGATTTTTTATTTATTTATTTTTTCCCCCCCAAAGCCCCAGTAGATAGTTGTACGTCATAGTTGCACATCCTTCTAGTTGCTGTATGTGGGACACGGCCTCAGCGTGGCCGGAGAAGCAGTGTGTTGATGCACGCCGGGATCCGAACCCAGGCCGCCAGCAGCGGAGTGCGCGCACTTAACCTCTAAGCCACGGTGCCGGCCCAGGGTGCATATTCTAGAAGAAAGTTGTAATATTTCAAGTTTAGATGTAAGTGGGCATATTGATTAACTTAGTTGCACACCATTAATAAGACACATAATAGTAAACATTCCTTTTTTTCATATTAAAATAAAAATGAGGGGCGGGCCCGGTGGCTTAGCAGTTAAGTGCGTGTGCTCCGCTGCTGGTGGCCCGGGTTCGGATCCCGGGTGTGCACCGACGCACCGCTTCTCCGGCCATGCTGAGGCTACGTCCCACATACAGCAACTAGAAGGATGTGCAGCTGTGACATACAACTATCTAGTGGGGCTTTGAGGGGAAAAAATAAATAAATAAAAAATAAAAAAATAAAAATGAGACTGGCCAGTTTATCTAAAATGGGAATCAGATTGCCATTCAGTTTTGAAAAACTTCCTTCCTAAAGTAGGTGTGTTGGTGTAACTGAATGTTACTGTATGATTTGAAAATTAATACATGAAGAAATTATCTAGAATTTCTTCAATGACAAATATTTATGCCTGTTTCAAATTACCATGGAGTAAAATGTAAAGGCATCTGAATTAATTAGGTTTTGTCATTTTTTTTTTTTTTTTGATGAAAACTCTGATACACGGTATATGTTACTAGTAGAAGAAAAACAAAATGACCTGTTTTCTTTTATTTTAAACTGTCACTTTGGAACAGAATGAAGAAGCCTTGAAAAAATGTGCTCAGGATTACCTAGCCAGAGTTAAACAAGAAGAACAGCGATATCAGGCCCTGAAAATCCACGCAGAAGAAAAACTAGACAAGTAAGAGCTTGCACATAAGAATTTCACTTTTCATGATGCTGTGGGAAGGTTGACGGAGGCGAGAAAAAAATCACAGTTTTGCAACTCCAGATTACCTTTGTGTGTGCATGTGTGCTTTATTTAATTTTTTGAATAGGTAGAATCTTCACATGCTCAAACATTAAAAAGAATAAAAAGATGCACAGTCTCTTCTCCCACCCCATCCCCCACACAGGGTTCCCACCTGTTTTCTCACCCAGGTAATTGCTATTCTTTTATCCGTCCAGATGTTACTTTTTCCCCTTCCTCCCCCCTCAGCTTTATTGAGATATAATTGACATAGAACATTGTGTAAGTTTAAGTTGTACAACTGTTGATTTGATAGATTTGTGTATATCACACCACTATAGCGTCAGCTAACACCTCCATCAAGGCACATAATTACCTTTTTTTTTTTTACGTAAGAGTCTCCTTTTTTGTGCAGATAACATCATACCTCGCTTTTTACATTTAGCAGTATATTTTGGAGATCTTTCCATATCAGTCCATGAAGAGCTTCCTTATGTTTTTTTAACAGCTGTCTGGTGTTCCATTGTGGGAATGTATCATTTAGTTGACCAGTCCCCTCCTATGGGACATTCAGGTTATTTAAAATCTGCTACAAACAATGCTGCAATAAGTAACCTTGTACAATTATGTGAGTTATCTCTATGATAGAAAAGGAATTGCTGGGCCAAAGAGTATGTGTTTATAGTCACTATAAATATTGTCAAATTACCCTCGTTAGACTTTTATCAATTTACATCCCTACACAATGTATGAGAAAGTCTCTTCCCTACAACTTTGCCAGCAGATCACATTTTTGATTTTCTGCAAATCTAATAGATGAAAGATGGTATTTCAATTTAGTTGTTTTGTTTTTGGCAGGCAACAGAGCATTTATTTTATTTGATGTAGTTTTGATTCGTGTTTATCTCATGACTGAAATTGAACATATTTTAGCAGCCATCTATAAATATATTTGCTTTACTGTGAATAACTCTATTCTTTGCCTGGTTTTCTATTATCAGTTTATACATTTTGTACATAAATCTATTTTATGTTTATGTAGTAAGGATGCCAGCCCTTTGTAATATGAGTTGTGAATAACTTTTCCAGTTTGTCATTTTTCTTTTGGCTCTGCCTATACTGTTTTTTGATATGCAGAAATTTATTTTTATGTAGTGAAATTTATCAGTCATTTCTTTTACAGCTTCTGGATTTCCTGTTATAGTAACAAAGATCTTCCCTGTGCCGAATATAAAATATTCTCCCATGTTTTCCTTCTAGTCTTTTTGTGGCTTAATTTTTTTAATCTTTAAATACAAAACATTTGGAATTTGTCCTGGGGAGTGGTATGAAGATGCGTCCAACTTTATTTTTTAACTGAAAAGTAATACATACTTGCACATTTTTTGCTGTCTGTCTTCCTGTTTGTAAAACCTTTTAAGTTCTACCTTTCTCGTTCCCACCCCCCAAGTACTGCTGTTAAAGGTTTATTATGAATTCTTTCAGTCTTTTCTCTGTGCCTTTACAAATACTACCCAAAACGGCTTTGGACTCCTTTTTTATAATATTGGAGTTATATAATGCAAGTTTCCTTTTTCACTTAATAGTATATTATGGCCATTTTTCCGTGTTAGACATATGGCTCAATCTAATGATTTTTATTGGTTGTAGGAGTATTACATTCCTTTATTGATGGGCATTTACATAGTTTCACACTTTTTTCCACGCAAACAATGCTACAGTGAGCATCCTTGTGCATTCACCATTGTGCCAAGGGGGAGTGTTGCTGTGGATAGATCACTAAAGGGGAACTGCTGGCTCAGAGGGTATATGCATTTTAAGTTGTAATAGTTACTGCTACATCCCCTCCACAAAGACAGTGCAGTTTTCATTCCCCCCATCAGCACGTGAGCCTGTCTCTTTCCTTGCATCTCGGCCAACTCAAGACAAGATCATCCTTTTTTTTTTTTTTTTTTTTTTTTTT